AGGACCACACAGGCAGAAGAGAAGAGAACAAGCCTGGCTTGTTCTATGAAGAGGCCATGCCTGGGGCCTGGCTGCATGGTGGCCCCGGCAGCAATAACGTGGCACAGGTGGTTTGGGGACATCAAAGAGACAAAGGACTGGCAGGTGGGACATAGGGGAGCTCATCTAAGAGAAGATCATCGGTTGGATGAGCTCCAGAGTGACAACCTTCCCCAGCTAGGGGGAAGCAGCCATATCATGGTCATTGATGAGGGAGGGGTCAAAAGGAACAGGCAGAGGAGGGACTGAAAGTGGTGGGTGTGTGGGTGGCATGTACACATGCCCAACCACACACGTGCACACACACACAACACAAACACAAACACACACACACACACAGACACACAACTGCAACAGTATGCATGTGGAAAGGGTAGGTACCTTCGGGGACTGAGACTGTGGAGGAAATAATGCAATTTATCGGAGGCATGGCAAGTAGACAACCTCTGAAGACAAGAGTCTGGCACAGCTGACCCTGAAAGAAAAGTGACAGTTTATTCCCAGATGGGGACAGAGTCTCCAGAAACCCAGGTTAGTGGTGATATAAGAGCTGGAAAGACAATCGTCCTGCTTTGCCCCTCAGGCTTCCTCAGCTGGCCCACATGCCCTGGTCGCTCATGGGTGATCCATTCTACCACCCAGCAGCCAGCAGTATCTAGCATCCAAAGTCTCCCCACCTCTCCCCTGGCTCCTGGAGACGCCCCCACACTGAGGTCAGCAGAGACCTTAGCCACATTTTCCGCACACACCATCTATTCTCACCTTGGGTCCATTCCATGGGGCCCACTCCACATGATATCACCTGTCATCATCTTTGGTCACCACACTCATGATGATGCAAGCTGGGGACACTACAGCATCACATAGTGCACATGGTGGCCCTGGGGGCAAAGAAAGACCCAACACCAGACATTAGGACAGTTTGACAGCCAAATTTGGATTAAGAGCTATTGTACAGGGTGGGGTTCTAGACAGGGACTTGTCTTTTTGATCCTTTGGGGGCTGGGGAAGCCTGGGCATTGCATGTGTTATGATCCAGAGCATGAACCTAGCATCCTAGTCACATTTCCT